CCAATGCTGGTAACTATACAGAACTTCACAAGCAATTTATACAAAAGTTGGCTGTGTTTAAGATAAGGATAACTTACTCTGAATTTAACATCCCAGAACTTGATAAAATGCTGTCTGGGGGAAGGGTAAGGTAGAATACTTTCTTAAACATCTTTGTTTTCAAGTGATTAATTTTCGTGTAGTCTAAGCAGATTAGCTGAGCTGGACACTTCCAGTGAGTACCCTCCCATGCAGATTAGGTACTGCTTGTGATAACACTGCTGATGTCTGACCTAGACAGAGCTATCTGGGAAAGGAGAGGGTTCAGTTATTCTCAGGCTCTGAGAGAAGGTTCAACATCGCCAGAAGGAAAGAGACAGAGATAAAGAGAGAAATTGAGACAGGAGCTGGCAAAATATTTCTTTAAATTGCCAAGACCTCAAGCTATCTAGTTTAGCTCCCTCAGCAACTGCTGAATAAGGCTTTAACCCTAAGGTAAAAACATTAGCTGTTGATTTTGCAATCTCCTCATGTCATCTGGTCTTAAGAGAGAGGTGCTGGGATTGATCTGAACAGTTATTCTCCAGGAAGTTTTTTTTTTTTTTTAAAAGACATTCTTTAGAGCAGGCCATGGGTGTAATGAGAAAAATATCCTGAGAAATAAAAAGAGTCTATATTTCAACATCAAAAGCATGAAAGGAGTGGAATAAAAGAAAATCATGGACAGGCAGCACGTGAGGAAGCTGCAGACAAAGAGAAAATGGTGGAGGTGGGGGTGGGGAGAGCTTTCCTTTTCACTCTCCAACTTCACAAAATTTGATTTTTTTTAATTTTTCATAATTATGATTTCAGGCTATAAAATAAGCCCTTCATTTTGCTGCACCCAGCCCACCTTCTGCTCCCTGCTTGTACAGGGTTCCAAATGAAATTGGTGGTCTTGATACTACCATTAAAAACTTGTATAATTATCCATGTTCTTAACTCCAGCTCACAAATCCCACCAAGAGCAGCTACATTACATGTATGAGTCAGGAGACCAAAGAATTATTTGTTTTAAGTGCTATATATGTTCCATTCCTAAAAAAAAAAAAAAATCCAATGTACTCAGTACTACTGTGAAACCAATTTACAATCACTCACACATGCATATGAAAAATGAAACACAACTATAGCCTAGGATGAAAGAGGGAAGGGAGGGAGAGGGGAAGGGAGGGAGGCGAGTGGATAGAGGGAGGGTTGGTAGGAGGACCACACCTATGGAACATATTGCAAGTACAAGTTAGATCTATCAGGTATAGAACACAAAAGTCTTAATCCTGTAATTGGGTAAAAGAGGTGAAGACTATGTCGTTCAGTAGAATGTATGCCCTCCAATTTGTACAAATAAGCAACACATTGAATCCCATAATAGCATAAATGTATTTATAATCTATGTACAAATTACTTAATTAAAAAATGCTATATATGAACACCAGATGTAATAATTATTATAGAGATGAAAAACACTTAACAAAGAAACTAAATGCACCAGCAAATCCAATATATCATTTCAAAGTATACAGTTCAAAAAATGGAAAGTTGATGAGGTAAAATTACACTAGCAAGAAAGCGCCCCAAAGTGACCCTGCAATTGGAAGGTTGCAAACTTCTTTGAAAATCTCTCTCACCAATTTTAACCTTTGGCTGAGCTGAGCTAAGCAAGAGGGCTACATCCTGTAGATACTTCCAAATGGGGTGCAGTTCAGTGTGTCTATTATTGGGACCCAGAGAGACCTCACCAGCTATTTGCTGATCATGGAAAAAGGATGCTTTTTCTCCTTATACAGAACCTCAAAGTCTGTGGGGAGAAAGCATCAGTCTATCTCAGACCCTAAGCAAAATTCTGCTTTACATGGACAAACTACTCCTTGTAAGATAGTCACAAAAGTTTCTTTGCAACTGAGGAAGAGATGGAAAGAGGAATTAATAAAATACCATATTTTGAAAGAAAAACTAAGGATGGCAGGACTGGCCAATTTCAAAGCACTACTACAATATTACTTACTATGAAGTCCAAAACAAACTATCAAGAATAGTTTAAAATTAAAATGTTTTTACATCTGGATAATTTATCTAAACTCCAATTGCAATTCCTGCATGGGCTACCTTAGGATCCAGCTCCCAAAAGCAAACATTTGCCATATTATTGTGCTGCTTACTGAAAAATAAGGGGCTTTACTTCTGTCAAGTGGGCCAGCAGTCAATTAATAAAGTTGTCTTGCTTGGTCTTGGAGAGAGAGAGCTTGATAAAATATCATCATGGTTGAATACAAGCCCCATCAATTTTTATTATTCCTTCTGTTTAAACCAAACACTAAATTAAGGAAAAAAAAAAAAGAAAAGAAAAGAAAAAGAAAAGAAAAAAAAGAAAAGAAGACCACCTTTGGCCTCTGTCCTTCACTGGACAGAAACAGAAACATTGTAAATGTATAAGAACACAGAGCTAGTGCTGAGGATACTAAAGTTAAAAAAAAATCCCTCCACACAACTAATGTGCATAAACACATGCACAGTTGGAAAAGGGAGGAACTAAACAGGTTATTGGAAGCCTCTAGAATTTTGAGATTTTTTAATTCAAAGTTTTAAAAATCTCTTGCCTTTCACCAAACTGTGCCCCTACAGAGTAAGGGACAGAAATAGAAAGTAGGAAAAAATGTCAACTTTTAGATTGAGATGGGTTGCGGTCTGAAGATGGATTCATTTGCAATAAACTGATTCAAGGATTTTCCATATCCTGGAAATGGAAAGTCTTTGTCAGACCAAGAGATAGGAACACCAGTTTTCCCTTTCACTAGACTCCTCACAACCTGCGAAGCAATTATAAACCAGGGAAGATTAAATAATATTGGCCTTTCTCTGGGTACTGCTAAATTCTCACAAGTCGATGTTGTTAATTTAAGCATTGTCAAAGAGGCATCAAAGTAATATAGTCTTCCTAATATAGAAGTGTTTTTTTTTTTTTTTTCCCATTAAGACCTGGAATAAAATCACTAAGCTGGCTGTCTACCTGACAGGAAGAAGTTTTTACTCTCTACAGCCACTCCCTGAGAATTTTAGTTTTGTCTCTCAAGACATATCCCTTAACAAGTATGTGGAATCCTTTGTTTCCTCTGTGTTAAGTGAGTAAGTTGGGGGAAAGGCATGCCTAAGATGGAAGGTCCGGGAGACTGGGACTGAGTTTAGCATCATGGTAGGTCAAGAAGCACCTTAGATATTTCTCCATCTCCCCACAAAAGTTCATAATAGAAGAGCTTTGCTCTCTAGTGACAGGCCTACAAAAAATAAATTAATCCTACCAAGTAAGTCTGTTCTAATAAAATTAAGATCTTTTATCCCATAGTATAAGCTGATTACAAAAATAAACACTCTAAATTAAGTGGGAAAGAATGACAAGATCAATTGAACCTTTTGCAAATCGTATAAGTCAAATATTAAAGACCTAATAGAATGTAAAGCTTTATAAGAAACTTTCAACATTCCAGAAAAATATATTTTATGAAATCCTCTTTATTTACGGATGTGATGCTATCAACCTTCCAAGAACGAAAGTATCAGTGAGAGAAAGCAAATCATTGAGTCTAAGTCACCAAACAAAGATGTTAAGGCAAACAAAGAAATTTTGGGAAAGTCACAGATAAAAGAAAATAGCTATAGAAACACATAATAAGATGTAAATTCACTGGGATATTAGCCTCCAACTGATCTGAGGAATTAATTCCCCAGACTAAGTCATCCTCCTTCACCAGATAAACCAATATCTTAATTTGCTGGCAAAAAAAAAAAAAAAAAAATCTTCATCATGGTCTTCAGGAAGTTCAACAACTGTGGTGAGGAAGAACTTTTAATAAGATGAAATTGTTTGCCACTTTTTGCCTCATAATTAAAACTTTGGGGTAAGATTATGGCTTATAGATCCCTATCAATTCTTACTCAATTTGTCAGAGCCAACGGCATGTTTTAAAATGCAAGTATGTCCTTCAAATGAAGAAATGTAATAAAGAACCCCACTCCTTTCTCCCAAGGTATATTTCAGAGCATACTGGAGTAGTAGAAAATTCTTTACAATTTTTTTTCCAACTCTTTTGTAATTCAGACACAAGTATGATTAAATTGTTGGCTAACAGACCATTCTTCTCTTTACAGATCTTATGCAAACCTGAAACAGAGGCTGTGTATCTATTATAATCCACAAAGAAAATAAACACTTTACAAGAGAAACTGGACCCAAGCAACTACTTCTAACATAGCCAACGCTGAGAAACATGTGAGGGCAAATCTTACTCAGTCTTTCCCAAGAAAATTGCCCCTCTGCTCACTTTAAAACCTGCCTGGTTAGGTTCTCTCCACTAACCTCCAACTCTGGAATAAGTTCCCAGTTGCTTCCAGGGAAGAAAATTCACCCCTTCACACAGGGGCCCCCAGCACCCAGAGACCAGTTTCTTTCTGCAAGGGGAGAATTTCACTCTATTTCTTTGGAGGAAGCGGGCTGAGAAATTCTTGTGCCAGTCTTTTTACCTTTAATCTGCTGAGACCTAACAAGGGCTGGAAGGCAAATCCTTAAAAGACTGGAAGAGGAGAAATTGAGCAAATTTCTGATCCAGGTTCTCAGACTTTGAGGAAGGGAGGAAAAGGGATTAAGGGTTTTATTTCCCAAGACGGCCCATACAATAGGATTTAAGTTTGCAACCTGTGGGACCTGGAGTCCCAGGAGGTAGCAAGGGTTTAAAGCAGCTAGGGAAATTGCTGAGGAATCTGGAGGCACTCAGATCAGCACCCAGGGCTTACAGCAGAGATTTGGGGTGCTCACCTTGAATCTTTGGTAGGCAGGGGTCCCTGGAAGAACTTTATAAAGTAACCCCTCCTATTGAATCCTGCTGAGCTATCCCGAAGGTATCTGAGTTTCCCCGGAGGAGACTAGATACCCCAGAACGCAAAAGTGCCCTGGGCCAAAGAAAGCGACATTTCTGGGAGGAGAAACTTACCGCATGTCCCCGTAAGGTCCAGAATAGTTCTCCATCCAGGGACCCATCTCACTTTTGACACAGCTGGGGCTGGGATAGGGCACTCTGCTCACCACGCTGCCGGGGTACCATACATCGGGTGCGGGGAAGTCGCCTTCTTGGCCCGCCAGCCCCTGAGATGGCCTAGTGTAGCCATAGGGAGCTATGGACCCTGTCTCGCCTGCACCGCCCCCGCCACCGCCGCCCCCACCACACGGCCCATACAACTGGCCTTCCTCCGCTGTGAACAGAGTGTGCCAGGAAGAAGCGGCTGAGGCCGAAGGCGATCCGGAGCTCTGTGCCGCTGGGCCCCCGCTGTGCAGGCTCGCCAGGTCCCCAAAACGGCACTGCGCGGCCGCCCAGGAGCTGCCATAGTCCAGTGGGTTCTCCAGCTTGATTCGAGCATGGGGATGAGGGGGAAGCGGAGGGGGCGGTGGCCCGGTCAGGGCCAGTGGAAAGTTGTAGTACTCTCGATTCTGGTAAGCTGCGGCCTCGTCCAGTGCTCCAGACTTGTAGAGAGACAGAGTGGAAGGCAGCTCAAGTACTCCGGAGCTCCCCGCTTCACTGCTGCCAGGACAGCCCAGGCTGTCTCCTTCTAGTCCTTTGGTGTAACTTCCCTTGAACGGGGTATATTCAGCAGTCTCTTCCGTGCCCTTGTCTGCAGTGTCATCCAGCAAAGAACCTTTGCATTCGGCCAGTGAAGCACAAGGAGTGGGGCGCACAGCGGGTGGACCTCCCAAGAGCGGGGCATACATGCAATCTCCCCGAAGCTGTTCCCCAGGACTCAGATGCTCCAACGCCTCCACACCCAAGCCCATGGACACCGACACTGCCTTACACAACTCCTTGGCGCTGTCAGATATGGTCGAAGTACCCCCTAGGTAACTGTCTTTGGAGGCGGAGGAAGCCCCAGTGGCCTCCCTCGCTCTCCCGCTGCTCCTGCCTTCGGAGACCGCCTCCTGCTGCTGTTGCTGAAGGAGTTGCATGGTGCTGGCCTCGCTCAGGATGTCTTTAAGGTCTGCAGAGCAGCTGCTTAAGCCTGGGAAAGTGGGGCCCAGCAGAGACAATGTGGATGGGGCAGCTGAGTCATCCTCCTCCGGAGGTGCTGGCGGCTGTTGTGGCAGCCCCTTGCTGGCCGCCGTGGCAGCTCCAGGCTCTGGGACACAGCTGCTGTCAGGGTGGCAATCGGTGGCTGATTGCTGTTGTGAAGGCTGCCGTTCCCCGTCCAGGACCAGGTAGCCTGTCCGATTTCTGCTCTGGGCTTGGGGAGAGCCATCCTCACCGTGCTGTTGCTCCTGCTGCTGCTCCTGCTGCCGGGGGCTGGTCTCCTGGGGAGGCGGCGGCGGCGGCGGCGGCTGCTGCTGCTGCAAACGGGCGCCAGGAGGTGCAGCGCTCGCGGCCTCAGGGTGCCTGGGGCCCGGATTCTGGATCACTTCGCGCACACTCTGGAACAGGTTCTGGAAAGCTCCTCGATAGGTCTTTGACGGTGGCCGGGGGTAGACCCTCCCCAGCCCTAACTGTACCTCCATCCTTGAACCTGGCTGAATCTTCTACCTAATTCCCTACTCTGCCGCTCCCTTTTCTTGCTCAGAAGAGTTCAACAGGCAGTGATGATGCCGTAGTCGGTGCAGCTTGCTGAGGGAAGCTCTAGGGAAGGAAACTTGCAGAAGCAACCACGCCAAAAACGCTCTGACAGACTCAAAGTCTCCTGCAGAGGAAGACACACGTTGGATAAGATCTGCCCTGCTTGGTTCACAGTCTGTCCCTGAAAGGTAGATTCAAACGATGTGATGCTCAAATCTTGAAAGAAAAAACAAAGCAAAATCTTCTGCCTCCCAAATTCAGTGTCCACTGAAGCAGGTGCAAATAACAACTGAGTTATTTTCCTTTTGTTTTGAGTATTTTTTGTTTTGTTTTGGTTTTGTTTTGGTTTGGTTTATTTTTACTGAAGCCCCAACTGCCTTTTCATCTTTTCATTTCTGGTTCCCGCACTCGAGGTAGCTGGGGTGGGGGTGGAGGAGCTGGAAGAGGTGAAGAGGGAGTAGAGGGAATCAGGAGGCCGTCCCCGCGAGCAGCCTAATCAGCCAGGTCGGGCTGCCGTTTGGAAACCTTTCCCCAGTTGCCCGGCTCCCAAGAGCCTTCTTTGCAAAGTGCAGCTAGCTCGCCCGGTCGCAGCGAAAGGGAGTTACCGCTCTGCAAACTCCGGCTGGCAGCGCTGGACAGACGGGGGAGGGGGTGGGGGGGTTGTGGGGGGTGCTGGCCGAGAGTAGCAGGCAGAGGCAGCTGCGAGAGAGATCAGGAGGTAGTGGGGGGGGAGGACAAAGGCAGCCGTCAGTCCTACCGGGCACTTTGCTCGCTTCCTCCGAGAGTCTCTAGCAGCTTTTAAAAACTTCACCGAAGAGAGAAGGGCAGCTCCAGGGCGGCGGCTTCGAAACTGCAGTGCTGCAAGAGGCGTCGGTTGTCGCCGGAGCCAGGCTGGGACTGGCGTAGTGAGTCCCTTAGCCTCCTGTAAGGCACTGGAGCAGCTAGCTGGGTCGTTTTCAGTCAATCGCCTCCTCAGCCTCCGGGCTTGCTCGGACCCTCTTGCTCTCCCAGCAAGCTAGCTCCCCGGGATCTCTGAGGGGGCGCTGGAAGGTGCAGAGCAAATGCAACAGTTTGCGAGTCGGGTCCCGCCCCCGCCGGGCTGGCCTGCGTGTCTTCCCACCTCCTGTCTCTCTCCCCTCCCCTTTCCTTTTCTCTCCTCCCCTAGCTGCGAGCTAATGCTTGATGGCTTTGGGGAAACAAGTGCTGGCGCAGCATGAGTGAAGGCAAGAGAGACTTGCTTTAGCCCTGGGGGACCCCTGCTCCCTAAATATCTGTCTTATGCTTTCTTAAACTAGCCTTTAGGCACCAGGGCTGAAGCTTTAACCTGGAGCTTATTTTGAGGACAGGGCTACTGATCTCCCCAGGAGGACTGCACTCACCAAATTTGGTTCCGAAGCCCAATCTGAAAAACAGATGGTGTACGTTGATGGGGAGAGGGCAGGGGAGAAAGGGAGTGATAGGATTTGTTCATAAAGGCTGCTAGGGATTCTTTTCAGGACTGATGGGGACGCGCAGACCCGAGAGTCTCCTATAAACTGCAGAGCAAGTCATAACCAAGCCAGCGACTTGCTGAAACCTGAGATTACGCCATAGGGTTAGATTTGGCCTCCTGGCAAGGTGCCATTTGCTCTGGGAACCCTCGGCTCCAGGAACCAGAGGTCATTTCTACACTCTTTTCTGCCTTTCCTCCTGTCTGGAATTGCCGCTAAACACACACTTCTCACCGATACAGACTGTGCAAAGGTAAAATCACCCAGACAAACAAGAAAACACACAGACACCCAAAATACTTGCCATGCCCCCATAGACTTAGGTTTTGTCCAGGGTTTTGCAAACATTTGTTTTGTATACAGATCCTTTGTTTTCCAAGTTGCCTTTACATATTTTAAACTTTGCAATTGGAACTATCCAAGGATAGAACATATATAGGGCTTCTTTTCTCTTCTTGATGGACAGCTAGGAGTGGAGTGTGATGTGGGTTACTACAACTGATCTTTTGTGGAGGAAGTCCCATAGCTGCTGTGTAAAGGCAGAGAGACAGGTAAGAATGGAACAGGAGAAGAACTGGAAGGGGAGACCTATAAGGAAGAAGGTTCCTTTTATATTAGCAAGGGCCCTGAACCTCCATAGCATTTAAATTCCCTAGACCTCTAGATTTGAGTAGGGTCTCTGTCCCAGAAGGTATATGAACACTTTAAACCAGGCCTTTTCCACTTTTCTACAGTCTTCTACAGAGAAAACAGACTGTAGTTTTATCTTGTGCACAGCTAAATGTCATGAGCATTTACTTACCTTGACCAAAGAAGGTAACTCAAATCTAAAGACAATGAAGAGTGGGCATGATCAGGTCTATTTTACAGTTGAACAAGTTGAAGCATGGACATAATTTGTCCTATGTTCCACATTAATAGAACTTAAACTAGTCTTCCATCCCATTGCTATTTTAGCTAGACTCATCAGTTTGAGGGGAACTTGGGAAATGACTGTAAATAAGAGTTCCAGAACACAAAGGCCTGAGGACTCTTTCTCCTGAGGAGGTGAAAAATTATCCCCTGTGGTTTTAATGGCTGCAGTCCTACTTTGTTGTAACCCAACCATATCCCCATTGTTGGTGAGGAATCACAGAAAACATTCTTTATAGTAAAGAAGAAGCCTTATTGATAGAGATGTCAAACTGTAGCATGGCTAATTCTCAATAGCCTGAGGTAATGGGAAACAGAAATATTTAAATGAAGTACATAGATACTTTGAACACCTTATTTGAGTAGTCATCATAACTTCCAATCCTACTAAAACTTTTAACCAGCATCACTCAAAGGAAATTGAGTTCAATGGTAGGATAGTACGATGGAATGAACATAGGTCTCAAAGCCAGAAGAACTATTAATATTTGTCTGTAGTCTGACAGTGAAGGGGGTGCATGTAGCCATGAATGAACAGTGGGCAGGAGTGAGGAAGAGAAGTAGGCTAAAGTAAAGGCCTAAAATAAATTAAGGTAAGAAATAATGCTCTGAAGTTATCTTTAAGTTTAAAGACATGACAGTTTGACAGACATTCAAATCCAGGTCTGAGGATTCCAAAGTTCATGTTGCTTCCACAACACCAGTATTGTCTTCAGTTTCCTTTCCAGAAAACTGTGACCAATAATACTCTCAGAAGGCTGATGTAGCAATTAAAAGTAATGATGTGTATAGAACAAATTCGTCAATAAAAAAGCATTCTACATATCTGAACAATTACTTTGTTTTTTTTATTTTTAAACATAATGCTATCAACAATTATTATCAGGAAATGTTAACTACTATAAGCATTGGGGCATATACTATATTGAAAGTTTAAACTCTGATTCCCAATCTCAAACCTTATTTTTCTTCCATTCATTTCTAAGAAAATAAAGAAACAACTGTTGAAAAATTATATAAATTTGGTGTTTGTATCAGCATCCTTCTTCTTCACCCTCTTTCTCCTCTTTTTTTTTTTTTTTTTGCAATTTTTCTTGATCAATAGAACTAGTGATGTTTCTGCTATTGGCCTCCTCTGCAACTTCAAGGGGGCTTTATTAATGAAACCTTCCCTAGTTCCTTGATCTGGAAAGCCAGAAGGAACTGACCTTTGGAAAATGGTGAATATTTGTCTAGCCTTTTGGATTTTACTTCCTAAATGTATTGCAAGCCTGACCACTTCTTTTCATTTCTGCTGCTTCCAAACTAGTTCAAGGCACCATCTTTTCCCACCTGGTCTTCCTCCTTCTGCTCCTGGAGTCATTTCTTCATTGTGCAGCTAGAAAAATTAAAAAAAAAAAAAACATTATTGAGGTATAATTGACAGAAACAATAAAATGTATATATTTAAAGTTGTACAAATTGAATAATTTTTGACATAAATACGTAAATATACACTCATGAAATTACCAACCTAAAAGTTTCTTTTCTGCTACTTTACACTTCTTCTCTCCATCTCTCCCACACTCTCCCTCAGGAAACCAATGATCTGCTTTCTGTCAGTATAGATTGGTTTACATTGTCCAGAATTAATGTAATCATATAGTACATACTTGATTTTTGTCTTGTATCTTTCACTGAGCATCCCTTAATATCCATCTAAGCTGTTATGTGTACAACTAGTTCATTCTCCTTTATTGCTAAGTAGTATTCTATTGTGCTATACACCACAGTTTGTTTATCTGTCCACTTTTTGATAGACATTTGGTATACTCCAGTCTGTGGTTATGACAAATAAAGCTGTTATGAACATTCATACAAATGGTTTTGTAAAGATACATGCTTTCATTTCTCTTGCATAAATACTTAGCAGTGGAATGGGTGAGTGTCGTCTCTAGTGGTTGTACCATTTTATATTTCCACCAGCACTGAAAAATGCTAGTTCCTCCACTTCCTCAGGAATACGTGTTATAGTCAATTTTTAAAAAATTAGCATTATAAATAGAGGTGTAAGTCTTTTCCATTTAATTTGCATTTCTCCAGTGAATAATGATGTAAAACATATTTTCGTGTGCTTTTTCTTTTCCATTTGTATACTTACTTTGGAAAAAATTCTGCTCCAATATTTTAACCTATTTTTAATTGGTCTCTTTGTAATTCATTATGAAGGTTTTAGGTTTATTTCTGTATTCCAGACATGAGCACTTTATCAAAAATGTGAATTAACAATTTTCTCTGTCTTTAGATTGTTTTATTGTCTGACCAGTGTTTTCTGAAGAACAAATATTTTTAATTCTGATGAAATCCAATTTATCAGTTTGTTCACTTGATTTGCAATCAGATATAAGAAATCATTTTTCAACTCAATATCACTAAGATTTCCACCTGTATTTTCTCCTAGAAGTTGTGTAGTTTTCAGTTTTACATTTAGGCCTAGGATACACTTTGTGTTAATTTTTGTTTATAGAAATCCAGCGTCATTTGTTGAAAAGACTGCCTTTTCTCCATTTAGTCACCTTTGGATCTTTGACAATTATCATTTGTCAACATATTTGTGCAGAGGGTTCCTTTAGAAAGTTGATTCTGATCATATTGCCCGGTCATTGGGTTCCCATTGCTCTTAGTTTAAATACAGTTTTTGTTTTTTTTCCGAAATATAATATCAGTTATTATTACAATACTGAGGTAAAAATTGAAATATCTCTTTTTTTCCCCCTGTATACAGAGAACCCATTAATAACATTGCAGTTGTAAAACTCTAAAGATTTTTTTTTTTGTTTTTTCCTGAGAGTCCACTTGTAAAAAAAACTTTTACTCACAAAGACTAGAAAAATTACATATTTCTCTTTTTATTTACAGTCTGTATGCTTTCTGTAATTTTTTCCTATTATAAAAATGCTTTAGAAATTCATATTCGAACAAAAAATTGAAAGTATATATCATTCGACAGTCTTATTTTACATAAAATG